TTTTCTTCTCACACTGACACAGAGAGGACACCTTCTTTCCGTGTTATACCTCTTAGGATGCCAGTCACAGCTGCTGGCAAAACGTCAGGTCCTACAGTGCCCAGACCACGGCCAGACAACCCGGAAAATCTACAACAGCTAATTTAAAACAATTGGTAATTTATGTAAAATGTGTGGTGGCCGCCTGAGACCGGTGGGGGGGTGGGGGGCTGACACAAATGTACAGTGGCTTGCAAACAGTCACTCATCACCCAGTCTTGTACAAAGAGTTGGTGTTCAGGTGTATACTGAAGTGGAAAGGAACCATAGAAACACAAAATCACCAGAGACATCGTGCCAAAAGGAAAAAACCCATGCTCTCCTCAGAGACATGGGATAGAGCAGGTCGAGAAAGAAGGACTTTTCTCCCTTTCTCACAGTACAAGAACTCCTTGTGGGCACTCCATGAAACTGCTGAGCGGTTGGGTTAGAACGGATAAAAGGAAGTCCTTCTTCACCCAAAGAGTGATTAACACTTGGAATTCACTGCCACAGGAAGTGGTGGCGGCTACAAGCATGGACGGCTTCAAAAGGGAACTAGATAAGCATATGGAGCAGAGGTCCATCGGTAGCTATTAGCCACAAGGGATAGATGGGAACTCTCCGTCTGGGGCAAGTGATGCTATGTCTTCTCAGTGCTTGGCAGGGAGCAACAGGTGGAGGGCTTCTGGAGTTCTGGCTCCACTGCTGGACCTCCTGAGGGCACCTGGTATTTTTGGCCACTGTGTGACGCAGGGTGTTGGACGGGATGGGCCACTGGCCTGATCCAACATTGGCTTCTCTCTTATGTTCTCATGTAGAGGGTTGTTGGGAGACCATCCTCAGCATCGGGATGAAAGGGTAGGATACAAACAAGTCCAACAGTGGAATGCCTGTTGACAGCACTGGTGAGCTCTGTAAAGGCCTATATGAACATAAGAAAAAGAGCCCTGCTGGGTCAGACCAGGGAGGGTCCATCTACTCCAGCCTCCCGTCTCATACAGTGGCCAGCCAGTTCCTCTGGAGGGCCAGCAACAGGGCAGAGAGGCCGAGGCCTTCCCCTGATAGGAACCTCAGAAGAGCCCTGCCGGGTCAGAACAGGGAGGGTCCCTCCAGTCCAGCCTCCCATCTCTCACATGCACCAGCCAGTTCCT